CGGACGCCGGCCAGTGAAACTTCACTAGATTGAAAGAGATTACAAACACCGGGGATTTTCAACGATGATCTTATCCCATATTGCGGTTTACAAGAGGTATATATAATATCCCCTATAATAGAGGTGACCTAGGTTGAAACTGATCAATACCGCACGCTAGGGTTATCGGAGTCCCCTGGCATGGGCAAGCCATTTTTTTTTGAGGGGGGTCAAGGGCAAGCCAATATGAGCTAACTTCAGAGTCCGCTCCGCTACAGCCCAAGCCTCCTAGAAACGGGCCTCCACTCTGCTCGGTTAAAAAATTAGCCTTTATACTTTATATGAATTCGAATCACAACTTGGGAGCACAAGAGAAAGTGTCCAATTCAAGCAAATGTTCAGAAGGGGAAATGTTATAATGAGAGCTCCACAAATTTTCGAATTCAATACACAGTGTTCAAGATATCAGATACTCTACTTGCTGTTGGTCAAAGACGTGATACCCGGACCTGGACTGCTGACATTTAACTTGCGACGGCAACCGGTCAATCTGTCAGAGATGAACCCACTGTAATATAAGTACTACCGCTAAAGTACTACTCCCTTCGATCGGAAATACTTGTCATCAAAATAAATAAAAGGGGATGTATCTAGATGTATTTTAGTTCTAAATACATTTTTTTTATCCATTTTGATAACAATATTTTCGGACGGAGGGAGTACTAGTAGTAGTACCGTTATGAGAAAACAAAGAGGTTCTCAGTGAACAAGGGATGAAGTTTCTCCATATACGGGCACGGATCAAACCATGTCAACGCAGTGACACACATCGCCTCGATCTTTGTACAAGCTACAAAGCTCCTCTCCTCCTGCTCCTCACAGCCTCGCCGATCGATCGCGATCCCTTCCACTTCTATACTCTATACACGCCACGAACCCTAATTTACCAGATTAAAACGAACGCACGCAGCAAAAAACACAGGAACTGGAACAGATTCATGGCTTCATTCTGCTCGTCTTGGTCTTCTTGGATCGGCTCTCATGGTTCCAGCTCATCAGCTTGCGGAAAACCCCCTGCCGCTCCTCGTAGCTCGACCTCCTCCCGAAGCTGCTGCTCTTCTTGAAGCTACTGCTCTTCTTGAAGCTGCTGCCGCCCAGGCTGTTCCAGCTCCCGAGCTTCGCCTGCCTAGCGGCGGAGGCGGGGGACGCGGCGGCGGCGGCGTCGGCCTCCGGCACCACCGGCGGCGTCACGCACCGTATCAGCGCCCAGTCCACGCCCGCGAAGAACGGGTGCCGCTTGATCTCGGCCGCCCCGCGCGCGGACCCCATGCGCCGCCGCGGGTCCCTCTCCAGCAGCCTGCCGACGAGGTCCTTGAGCTGCGCGGCCGCCTCGGCCTCGCCGTCCAGCTTCGGGTACGTCACCTGCTTCGACAGGATGTTCTTGAGCGTCACGTCCTTGGCGGGGCCCTTGAACGGCGTGCGCCCGTACACCAGCTCGTACAGGAACACCCCGAAGGCCCACCAGTCCACGCCGTTGCCGTGCCCGTTCCCGCTCACCAGCTCCGGCGCCAGGTACTCGTGCGTGCCCACGCAGTCCTTGGAGTTGGCGGCCGTCGGCTCGGCCACGAACTCGAACCGCTCCTTCGCGTCCACGTCGTCCTCGTCGCTGCCGCGGTTGGAAGAGAAGCACGACGGCAGGAGGCTCCTCTTGCGGCGCTGGCTCTGCTGCCGCACCTGGCGCCGGCGGACGGCGGGCTCCACGGACGCCGGGAGCGCGAGGTCGAAGTCGGAGAGCACCACGTGCCCGTCTCCTCGGAGCAGCACGTTCTCCGGCTTGAGGTCGCGGTACACGAAGCCGAGCACGTGCAGGTACTCCAGAGCGAGCAGCACCTCGGCGGCGTAGAACCTGGCCGCTGCGACGGGCAGGCGGCCTCCGGGGCGGCGGCGGAGCACCGAGTGCAGGTCGCCCCCGGAGCAGTAGTCCATGAGGAAGCAGGCGTAGCGTCCGGCGTCGAGGCGCGCGTAGAGGGTGGGCACGAATGGGTGGTCGAGCGACGAGAGGACGCGAGACTCGGCGAGAACGTGGCAGACACGGGAGGGATCGTCGTCTCGGAGGTCGACGACCTTGAGCGCGAAGAGCGGCGAGGCCGGCGGGGAGGACTTGAGGCGGCAGAGGAAGACCCGCGCGAGGTGTCCCTGGCCGAGCTCGCGGACGAGGTGGAGGTGGGCAAGGCGGAGTACGCCGTCCGGTGTGGCGGCGCGGGCGGCTGCGAGGTGCGTCCAGTGCTGGGAGGTGGACGACGAGTGCGGGCGCGGCGAGAGCGAGGTGGAGGAGGAGAAGGACGGCAGGGAGAGCGAGCTCCGCGCGCTGAAGGTGGTGGCGGTGGTGAAGGAGGAGGTGGATGCGGAGGCGGTGGAGGTGAAGGAGAGGTCCAGCGCGCCGGCGCCGGCGTCCGCAATGGACAGTGGGAAGTGTGGGGAAATGTCAGAGAAGAGCGGGGACGGCGGGGCGGGCTCATGGACGTCCATTGGCGGATGAATGTGCGGTGCTTCCATGGGAGCGAGAGCGAGAGAGGGGGGGCAAAGGAAGGGAGGAATTGTTTGGAGTCTGTGTGTGATGACGGGTTGGGGTTATAAAGGCGTCGCCGAGACTTGCGGGGCGTAGAATGAAGCGGGAGATCAACGGAATGGGCAAGCAGTAGTAAAACGGACCCAACGGAATGAGTACTGTATTACCTACGTCCAAAAAAGCTTGTTATCTAAGAACGGACGTATCTTACACTAAAACGTCTCTAGATACAACCGTACGTAGACAAATCTAAAATAACCTTTTTGGGACGGAGTATCTGCCAATAAAAATTGACGCCGGGGTGAATGGGCGTAAATTATTTGTATTTCTAAGACTAACGTGTTTGTTATTTTTCTGACGGTGGGTCAGTCGATTATGGGAGTGAGACGCGGATCACCAAGCCGAGATGATGTGGCTAGCTGCGACACCGGCAGCGCAGGTGGGTTG